ATAGTGTTAAAAATGAACTGCTCAGGGTATGAAATATAAGTAAAAAAATGAACCTTAAGTATTATTCAAAATTTCAAAACTAGGTCAAAGTCAAACATCAGAAAAGATTGCTAGGATCGATAGGAATCTTTCAGTAAAGGTGAAAATCAAAAGGCTAATGTTCTGAAATGATATAAGTGATGAAGTTATACAGATGGATGTGGTGGCACCGTGCCGTGCCACTGCAATTTGGCAGTTTGTGCATAATTTTATATTATTTTGCACTTCCTCTTTGCTTATGTGTAAGCTTGCCTAGAGACTCGTTCTAACACCATCCTGCAGTCAGGACAGCAGTCAAGTCATGCTTTAGTACAGGTTATTTCTGTCCTTAACCGTTTAGTTTGTGATTCTGTAGTCACATATAATTTTAATTTTGAAATCAGCATGAGAAGCTGACATTGAACATGAAGAATAAATATTTTATGTGTATAGGCCCTTCTGGCTTGAGGAGCATCTGTTTAAGGTGGCTAAATGTGATCATTCAAAATAATGTATCCAGTAAGTGTATTTAATAAAAATATGAATAGTTATAAAAAATGGATTTTATCTACAAGTTACCTATTTTTTTGCCAGTATGCTACTTTGGAATGTATCTGTATAATGTATGTTATCCTTAATCAAAAGACTTCCTTCACCCAAACTTTATGTATAGATTTATTGAAACTATTGGGAAACTTATTAAATATAATTCTTATTTATTTGGAATTTTGATTAAAGAATTATTTTTTTAATTGTAAAATAATTTTTCTATCAGAAACTTAAGTGGAAGTAGCTTATATAAAATACTTTAAGTCTTAAAGCTGACAGTAATGATATATTTTCTTGTTCATTGCTCATACATACTTATTTTCATTGAAATGGAAAATTTAGATTTAGATTATGTCGGTCCAAATTACCTTTATCAGCAAATTAGCCTCTACTCACAATTACTTACAAAGTAGGAAGAATTAGCTTCTTTACTCAGTGCATCTTCTATTCCAGTCTTGCACCAATTGGCTGTAATGCACAGAATTTAGTAATCCATTTTTCAACTTGCTTAGACTAGAAAGCAACTTTCAAGAAATTCATTATTCCCATTAACAACTGTAGCTGAAATATCACAACTGGCACAATTTATTGTTCTTCATTACTTACTTTCAATGGCTGCAAGCAACCAAATGAACTTTATTTCTGCTGTGTGAAGAACAAAAATGTTTGTGAGTTAGTAACTTCGCTAGAAATAAAACTGACTTTTTTGCATCCTGCTTGATGTAGTGGATTATCTAATTATAGTAGTCTGCAATATAGGTATCTAAATGTGACATTAAAAAAATAGATTTAACACAGTATCTCACTTCAGTGTATTTAACTTGCAGCTAAATTTGCCTGGAGCAAAGGCAGACACACGGTAGTAATTTAGTATTTGTCCTGAAAAAGTGACCTAATAATGGTGCACTGGGCTGAGAACTGGCAGAGGACAGTGCTCAAAAGGTTCTAGTGAATTAGGCTACATCTGTCTGGCAATCATTCACCAGTGGTGTCCTTCAAGGTTCAATTCTAAGGCCACATCTCTTCAGTATTTCTATCAGTGATCCGGATACAGGAGTTGAATGCATCATTAGCAAGTTTGCTGATGATACTATACTGGGAGGTGCTGTTGTGTCTCTTGAGGGATAAGATGCCTTGCAGAGGGATCTTGTTAAATGGGAGCACTGGGCAGTCATCAATGATTTATTCAAAATTTGAAAATTTACCAAGAACATATGACAAGTTCTGCACCTATGATAAAGTCACGCTGATCATAAGTATAGATTGGGAGAGGAGTGTCTGGAGACCAGCCCTGCAAAAAGGGATCTGGAGTTCCGGTTGGCAGCAGCTCGATAGGAACCAGCAGTGTGCCCTGGCAGCCATGAGGGCAAACCCCATCCTGGGGTGCATCAAACACAGCATCACCAACTGGTCAAAAGGATTAATTATCCCACGGTATTCAGTGTTGGTGCAGTGTCACCTTGAGCACTGTGTGCAGTTCTGGGCCCCACAATTTAAGACAGATGTGAAAATTCTTGAATGTATCCAGAGGAGGGCAAGAAATCTGGTGATAGGGCTGGAAGGCATGTCCTGTGAGGAGCAGCTGAGGACTTTGGTCTTGTCTAGTTTGGAGAAGAGGAGGCTGAAAGGTGACCTTACTTTTCTCTATAGCTTCCTGAGCGGGGGAAGTGGAGAGGGAGGTGCTGAGTTCTTCTCCTTGGGATCCAGTGAGAGAAGGCATGGGAATCATTCAAAGCTGCACCAGGGGAGATTCAGACTCAACATTAGGAAGCATTTATTTAACGAGAGAGTGGTCAAATGCTAGAACAGGCTTCCTAGAGATGTGATCTATGCCTCAAGCCTGTCAGTGTTTAAGAGACCTTTCAACAATGCCCTTAACAAAATGTTTTAACTTTTGGGTAGCCCTGAAGTGGTCAGGCACTTGGACTGCGTAATCATTGTAGGTCCCTTCTAACTGAACTATTGTAACTGTTTAGAAGTTAGAGGCATGCAAGCCTTTGTGTGGAAAATGAAAATCAGAGGCTTCTGAAGCTTCTACTGTCTTCAAAATGTGGACTTCTACACATAAACTGCCTTGCTTAATTTTAAACCTATTTCTCTAAGGTTGCAGAACTTATATGGTTATCACATTTGTCTTCTCCTTCCAATAACTTTTCAAGCTTGAGTACTTCCTTCATCATCATTTTCCAAAAGGAGAAACGTCTCCACTGTGTAGAATTTCAAGACTTTTGTAAAGCTCATTTGTTGCTTATTTGAAAAATAAACCAACCAACCAAACAAAAACCAACCAAAAAAAGTGTGACCCAGATTGCTGCTGAGGAAGGGCTGCAGAGCAAGCCCCACAGTTCCCTGTGGAGTGTTGGCTTGATGCTCCTTGCACTTGCACAGTGAGAGCTGAGAACGATCCTTGCTATTGGCTTTTGTCTCTCTGCCAGCTGGGGCGGCTGATGACTTTTGCAGAAATCTTGGGAAAGAAGGATGTAAAGGTGATGAGAGGCTATTAGGTTTGTAGAGAAAGGAAGAAGATTAGTCACAAGACCTTGAGGTTGGAAGGCTGAGGCTGTTATGGGTAGTGGAAAATCCATCACAAAGTTCTCATTTAATTTTAGAAATATTGACAATATGTAGGCACAATATACAGTGATAAAGCTGTAGTACTTTTCCTGGACATGTAATGACAGAGAAGGAGAGGGACTTGATGAGATCACTTAGAAGAGCACAAGATCATTACCCCTCCACCATCATTCCCTACCATTTCACATCCCATAGCAGAAGTTCAGTCTCTTGTACAGCAGAAGCATCTAATTAGCTGGTTAGTGTTATACATAGAAATTAAATGAATAATTTGAAGATTCACATATTTTTATATATAGCTATGAAAAAAAAGTTCCCAGGAAAGGTGACAGATGTTTCTAAGGTGTGCATATAGTTTTATATGTTTGTCTATATTTATGTTATGGAAGGGACCGCCTTCAGCAACGTAGGTAACAGGTCTGCTGGGGAGTGCTTTAGCCACAGACAGATGGAGGTTGACACATGCCATGGAGAAACACCAGTGCTTTATACATTTTCATGGATATTTGTTTTCAATTATGAGTGAAGATGGGATGTTGTGATAAATGGACCTTTGGAGCAATGTGTTGTGATGTCTTATTTTTTAAAAAACCTAATTGTTGATTGTTTTCAAAATCTAGAAGATTTTTACTTCTTGTTTCCACATTGAAACAACTATATTATATTGGCTGACACTTCATATAGCCACAAAATACATCTTAAGGGGGAAAAAAAACATTGAACAGCTTTAGTCTATATTATAATTTAGTATCACTTAACTTCTGTTACCTTAATTTTTAGGTAATATTTCCTGTAATAGTGCTACCATACTCTCAGGATTTTTTTTTTTTAATTCATTTAGTATTTTCGTACCTTTTTAGATCTTTCTGAGAAATGCAAAATTAGGAAGATGAGCATTTGCTCATTGTTTTAGCTGATAAAACACCTTTTTGAATGAGGATGAAGGATGATCTGGGTAGAAAAAATCTCCCAAGAATGTATTTGTATACAGAAAGACAATAGGAATGTCTTATTTAGGCATTAACAAAGACTTCTTGTCATAAATTTGTCCAAAACAAAACATTAGCATTTCTGCAGTATTTGTCATTTACATCATGTAAGTATGACCATGCAAGTATCATACTTGAGCTTGCTAACTAAAGCCTGTTAAAGAATGTCTGTGATCCTTTTTGAAGAAAATTCTGCTAAATATAGACAAGCCATGTAGTAGATTAGTTGTATTAGCTCAGCAATAACCCATGCAAGTGATTATCACAGCTTTCAAATAGTAAATGTGCTACAATAAACCCATTGTGTATAGGTACTGTTTTGGAAACCATTGATTTGTACTGGCTTTATTTGCATTTATTTGTTATACTAAGAAATTGTTTAAGCTACAAATTGGTTTTCTCGCTATATTTCCTACACATTAATCTCACTTTTTTTTTTGGTCTCAAGTGAATGCAACCTCTATGTGTTCTTTCCTTATATTTCTTTGACTTCTTAATTTAATATTGTCTTTTTATTACCAACACTTTATTTTTGGAGGCCATTATTTTAGGAGGCCACCTTGTCTCTTGTAGTCTTGCCTCAAATAATTTGTAGCCTAAGAAATTAATGAGGATATATGTACCTAATCATTTCACATTATATATTTTTGGAATATATTGTAAGCTCTGACATTAATGTTTTCTTAAGATAGCGCAACTCAGTCCAGCCATCTATATTTTGGGTATTTTCATTCACTTGCAAGAACTTGCATGCACCACCACATTTTATTTCCTTGAGGTTGGAGGAATATTTTATTGTTTTAGACAGTGCATTTAATACTTAAGACTTCAGAAAAGTTGCAGTAAAATACCTGTTTATTCTGTCTTCAGAACAAGTTCATAGGCACTTGGATCAACATGAGGTGAAATACTTGCAATTTGCTTTCCGTTGGATGAATAACTTGCTGATGAGAGAAGTTCCTTTGCGGTGTACCATCAGGTTATGGGACACATACCAAGTAAGTACTTTTTAAACCTCCATAACTCTGGTAATGTGTTTTGGACATACCACTATCTTTGTGAGTGGTTTTTCTTGAACCTTTTGCCATAATGTCATCTAAAAATCATCACAATAAGAGAAAAAGCCTTTAATGATCACTACTACTTAGAAACATTTGATGTCTTCAGTCTTCTTGCCCTTCAAAACTAAGTACTTGATGTCATGAGAGTTTATAGTACTAAAATGAACACTCACTCAGAGTTAATGTCAATATTCCCTTTTGTCTCTTCAGAGAAGCAAAACATTGAATTGTACTTAATCAATGCCCTCCATCGACTGTGAGTGCCAGGCTTCTTATTGCCCATCTGTTTAACTACTCAATTCAATACTAGCTTTCAGTCTTCAGTTTTCAGCACCCATCCCATTGTCATGTCTTCTGTCTTATTGTTTGTCCAGACAAAACTCTTTATGTTACTGACTTCTGGTTGCAGTAATTATTTTTCCTCAATAATTTCTTTCCTGGCTGTCAAGAGAAAGAGTTGATATTGGAGAAAAACTGTTTATCTGTTCTCAGTTCTATTGCTCCATTTTCCAGTAGCTTCTGGTTGCAATTTCTAACTATGTATTTAAACTATATATCCTTATCTACCAATTTTGTTGTTGAAGTTAATGGGAAAAAAAACCCAAGAAAAAAGTAAAAAGATTTTAAATTCCGTAAGAATTTTCAACTGAATTAGGTAGTAAACATGAGGCTAAATCACAATTTGTCTTGTAAAGAGATGTAACATCTTTAAATATCAGTGTCTTTATGTCTGCTCATTATGTAGTAATGTTCAGTTAGTTTCATACACTTTAATGGCTGTTGCTTCCATCTGGGGTCCTTTTGCCTCCTTTGTCTCATTATAGTATCTGTTATTCACTGTAATATCTGTTATTACCTGGCATTTTATCCACTGGAAAATATTTATTCTGTATAAGACTTTTTTGATAAATTGAAAGATCGAACTATTTAAATGTTTCACTGTAGCTAATTTATCTCCTTTTGAATAATTTTGTCGCTATTGCTGGACTATTTCTGAGTCTTGAAGGTTTTTTACATGCTATTACTTAATACTTGATCATTAGCTTTATCTGTGTGTTAAAATCATGTAAGAGCACTTCCTTAATCCAGCTAACCAGCCATAGGTGCCCAAAAAAAAGATGTTTTTGCCAAAGCTTCACTTTGAGCTCATCTGTGAGTTATGATTCTATGTAACCTTGAGAAACGTCCTTTGAAAACCAAGTCTGTGGCTAATTTCGCAAACTGTTGCCATGCTGAAGGGAACCTTTTCTCATTGCTGGTCCATAGGCACCTCTTAAGGTACTCTTCAATGGGATCTTTATCAATAACAAGTGTTTCTGTTGATTTAATTATGACTTTTAACAAATTCTGCTATATGACAGTAGTTCTCTGAAGTATTTAAAAGCTTCATACTTAAATATTTACATGGGATTTCCAAGTGTATCTTTTAAATGAAGGTTTTTTATACCTAAATATCTAAATGGAATTCTTACACCTAGAGTGGGACTATTTTTGTATATTAAACAATATTAAGGAATAATTCTGTGTTTTGACTCAGCAGGTGCAGCAGATCTGTGCTGTTTTCTAGGATTCATTATTTAGTAGACTGTAGTGTATGCATTTCTTGTCTAATAGCGTATTTAAAACCGCGAAGAATATCTTCATGTAGACACCTCTATTACCAACCCTTTTTCTGAACAATCTCAAGCAATTCCTCAAATTGCTAATTAGGTTTCAGTTGTGCTGATACAAAACTTATTATCAACCTATAATATGGATCTTATCACCCTGACAATATGGATAATAAATGCAGTTAAACCTGCAAGAAAGAGCCAGTAAAATTTGGGAAAAGTTTTTGCTAAAGTGTTAAGCATTATAGATTTTTACACAAATAACTTGTCACTAAGCCATTCCACTGCATGTGATTTCTTACTTAATAATTTGCAACTGTATCAGCAGTGATGCTCTCTGAATGCAAAACTCTTTAGAGATGGAATTTGTTCAGTTGGTTGTATCATCTGATTCATATTCTTAACTGTAAAGCCTAATATAGGCCAAAAGGTTGTTTAAAGATATATTTTAAAGAAGTTTTTCAGAGGGTCTAGCTATGGATGAACTTGTGTTGTTGGATTTGAAAGAGCGATGTAAAATGAGTAAAGGCAAGAAATCTAATAGGGGATCTTATTTAAAAAAAATAATTAACTTTCCAGATACTGATGGGAGGAACAATCATACTAATAATTGTAAGGGCCTGGATAGATGCTTAACTGCTAGTCTCACTGTAGTCAAAGGCTGATGATCCTGTTATCAGGCTTGCTTTTGTTACGTTGTATCCTAAAGCACTAAAGTAAGGAAACATGGTGGTTCTGCTTAAATTTACACATTTTTGCCATCTGCTGTTTCAGTGCCTACTCAGTATGTGCATGTACTTTTACTCCCTGATATTCTTCAACCATTGTAAACAGAAATACCTTTAATTGCAGTATAAGCTCAGAGAGGTGAACTAGTCATGTTGCAATGTAACATCATCCACAGCAGGGACTACAGGCATCCCTACACTGTTGATGTGAGGGCTTTTGCTCAGACTCTACTGTAGTGGGTTTCTGTGGCTGGGTTTTGGTAGCAGGGGGCGCTACAGGGGTGGCTTCTGTTAGAAGCTGCTGGAAGCTTCCCCTGTCCAGTGGAGCCAATGCCAGCCAGCTCCAGGACAGACTTCCTGCCGCTGGCCAAGGCCGAGCCAATCAGGAGTAACAGTAACGCCTCTGTGATAACATATTTAAGAACGGAAGACTGTTGCGCAGAAGAAATTCCAGCCAGAGAAGAGTGGAGTGAGAACATGGGAATAACAACGTCTACGTTGTCTCCTGCACCAAGGCCAGGGCAGAAGGAGGGGCAGGAGGTGCTCCAGGCGCCGGAGCTGAGGCCCCTGCAGCCTGTGGTGGAGACCATGGTGGAGCAGCTGTGCCCCTGCAGCCCATGGAGGATCATTGGGGTGGAGAGACCCACCTGCAGCCCATGGAGGAGCCCATGCTGGAGCAGGTGGATGCATGAAAGAGGCTGTGACCCCGTAGGAGGCCCAAGATGGTGCAGGGTCCTGCCAGAGACCTGCGGCCTGTGGAGAGGGAAGCCTACGCTGGAGCAGGTTTTTCCCGGGTAGGATTTGTGGCCTCTTTGGGGGACCCATGTCGGTACAGCTCACCCACGAAGGACTGCACCCCATGGAGGACTGATCCACGGGACAGCAGTTTGGGAAGAGCTGCTGCCCTAGGGATGGACTCATGCTGGAGAGGTCCATCCCGTGGGAGGGATCCCAGGGGAGCAGGGGAAGGATTCCTGTCTCTGAGTAGTGGCAGAAACAACAACTGACCATAACCCCCATTCCCTGTCCCCCTGCACCACTGGGGGGGAGGAGGGAGAACATGGAAGGAAGGAGGGGTGGGGGGAAGGTGTTTTGAAGACTGTTTTATTTCTCACTGTTTGGCTCTTATAAATATAAGTACTATCCCCACTTTGAGTCTGTTTTGCCTGTGAAGGTGATCAGTCACTGACCTCTCCCAGCTCTTATCTCTACTCATGAATCCTTAGCTGTTTTTTTTTTTTCTCTCTCCTCTGTCCAGTTGCAGAGGGAGAGTGAGAGAGCAGCTTTAGTGGGTACCTGGTATCTGGCCAGGGTCAACCCACTACATCTACCTACCTTGTGGCTCTTGGGAAGGGATGGGGCATTTTGCAAGGCAGTGCTTACAGTCATCTCTAGTCCCAGTGTGTGACATGATGCGGGAACAGCATAGGAATGGTGCCAGAGGAGGGTCAGGTTAGGTGTGGCAGTCAGGTTCCTTCGTGAAAGAAATGGGAAGGTAGACGGAACTGCCAGATCCCTTCATGTCTGCACTGGGAGTGCATTCTGGCTCCCCTATTTCCTGTAGAAATCTGATGATTAGAGAACAGTGGCCCCTCTTAAAAGAAAGGGTCCTGCTGCTGATGTTTTCACAGAAAATAAAAATTTTTTCTCTTTTCTTCCTTTCTCTCCATCAAAGCTGAAACCATGCTTGTCTCGCTGAGCTGCCCGTTTTCCTCTGTTTGCAGTGGAAAGATAAATATTGTGCTGTTTCCAGCTTAAATTCTAGATTGGTCATTCTCACAGCAGGCCCTAGTTCTCATAAGCTGCAACAGGGTATTCAGGGGAATAACAGCACACTTAAATAGACTGCTGTTGTATATTTCCTAGTGTGACAGATAACTTCTGTTGACTGGAGGTGTTAGAACTGCATTCAGTCTCTCAAAATTTGTTACTGTTCTTCCATTAACTTTGTTGAGAATAGAACTGGACACTTACATGGTGTCCACCTCTGTCTTTGAATGTACAGTAGCAAAAGTACTCTGGCTAGTGTCATATTCTCTATCTAGTTTAATTTAGGATTCATCAATAGTTTTGTGGGCTCTATGAAGTAAATCACTGAACGTATAATCCAAAATACCTGTAGTTAAGCTAGTTAGAGTTTAGGGGAAGAGAAGTTTGGAAAGGTTTCCAATTCTCACTTCAGTGAATATTCTGTTATTCTATAACTGTATCTATGAAATCTACTAAAATACATCGCTGTCTTCTGTAGCACAACTGTATAAAGTATAAAAAGTAAAGACATTATGCATTTTACTTAAAAAGGATATGTGGAGAGAACTTCTTAGTCATAAATATTTAGTTTGGTTTATTCTTTAACCTGAACTGAATTTTTATGGGAGTGAATTATCTCACTTTTTTGCTTGATTTAGGCTTTTTGTTTTGTATTGTTTTGGGTTTTTTGTTTTGTTTTGGTTTTTTTTTTTTTGGTTTAAGATAAATATGGCAAATACCTTGTAAATTCTTTCAAAAAAGAAATTCCTTGTTAAGTTACAGCCAAGACACTCGAATTTTAAATATGTGGAACTGATTAATACGAATGTTCATAGACTTTGTCAAGTGT